GTAGTATAAAAATATACAGTACACAGACAAACATCATTCTTAATTGATTTGTATCATAAATTTGACCCAAACTCGCCCTGCTTGCAGGGAAAAGTGAAAACCTTGAAAACTCTTTTTAAGCTGTCATTAACCCCTTACACCCTAACATCAGTATGCATATTCTCCATACTGTCCTTTGTACATTTCCTAAGGTGCTGACAAGGAGAATTTGTTTACCGATCATAGACTTCTTTTGTTGGTGATCATTTCCTATATTCTCATGACCTTAATGAATGATCCAGGGGTGATTTTGTGGGGAGAAATTAGATGCTAGTCACTCTTAGGGTTTAAAGGATCAATGTAATTCTTTACAAGTTGTATTGAGGAAAGAGGAAATTGCAGTGAAGTGAGCCGCAATCTTGTACAATATGACCTGAACAAACACGTGGAAATTTTCAAGAAAATTTGTCATTGCTGTTGTTATGAACAGAGCTTGAGGTATAGCCATTTCTGAGATGTAGAGGACTGATGGTGGATGAAAGTTCTTTTCCCTTAAGCATACGACAAGTCCTAAAGAAAAACCATGAAAACAAGGGCTTTGCACCAAAAGTAACAGTAGTCACATCATCCTTCCACAAGCCATCTGCATCTAAAAAAATGTCTGTGCTTAAGTTCCCTGACATGTTGTGCCCACAAAATGCGAATACAAACTGGTTTAACTTTGGCATCTATACAGTTACGCATGTTGGAAGCACTGCATAGCAAAAGCTTTGTTGCCAAGACATAAACAAGGGCCTTCAAGCCTAACCACTTGCATACATATCTAACATTACATTGATTGGTTAGAATGACCAACAAACTTTGAAATACAGAAAGCTTGCAAAAAGACACTGGCAAACAACTAAGAAAATAATATTGCTATCTATCACCTAATTACATAATGTGTTGTCAAAATTGGTTTCAATGCAAAACCTACGCAAAAATTGCTTTACTCACAGTGTTATGTTTGACATGACATAACAGCCCAAGAGCCTTCCTCATATGTCTAGCACAAGAGAAAGCAATTAGGCATGTTAAAGCAAAAACCATGACATATCAATGAAATCCTGAAGATTGCGACACTCCAACTGCTATGTAGCTAGTCTTCATTAGGCCCTTCTGCCTGAGGGAGACTTGTAACATAGCATCATAAGATCACCATCTACTCTTGATGGTGACTGAATTTTGAGACAAATGAATCATCATTTGTTTTTTATCTTTCCAAAATGAACAACCATATCTTTTACAATTCTCTGGTTCCCAGGTAACACTTCAGAGCCTCCACTATGGTTCTCCACTTAACATAAACCTAATACTAAGAAGTTAAAGGTTTCTATTTAACCTCTACTTTATCTTGACTAGAAAAACAGGAAAAATCGGGTAGCAAAACTGAAGAATATATATATATATAAAGATTTCTGCACTTAAATTTTAAGTGCTTTACATACTAATGATCCCTGAGAATGTTATACTGTAACAAAAATACCATCATTAGCATGAACTTCAATAGGTACAAAATTAGATGTTAAAGAAGTATATAAACCTACATTTAAAAATTAGTAGACATACAAATTTGTTTCACATCAAACTAGCAATCATATAATACATTATGTCTTCTTCATGTGCAAAGATAAACACTTTCTATGTATAGAATAGATTATAACCCCTAACTTTGAAAACTAGCACTCAACCATTATCATCAGTAAGCTCAAATTATCAGACAAGCAAAAATATAGTGTTTAGAATGTGTTTGAAGATTTGAATTTCAATCTGCTAAATTTTTTTAAATTGAAGAAACTGTAGCCTCTATATACACTTCATTTCAAGTAACAAACAAAATCAATGTCTTGGTTCAAAATTGATTAAAAAAATTAATAACACCTGCATTCAAACAAAAATGTTTCCTAGGTTCTTAGAGTATTGTGATCTACGTATAAAATGTAAGATGGCATGGTTTAGCATTTCAATAATATGTTGCAAAACCAATACAGTGAATGGCTCTTCACTACATCTTCTTGTTACAACAAATTAATGACTGAAGAGGAAATTTTCAAGGGCATTTAAAAGTCATTCACAATCCTTCCAGTACGTCTTCAAAGTCACACAATTCTTACTACTGAAATGTTTGTCATTAAAATTTACTTAAGTTTTCGACTGATAAGTTTTGAAAGACCAAATACCCTTACAAATGTAATGATAAAAATAATCCAAATTTTTATAAAACAACAATTTCTACAAAACAAGAAATAAAACCTGAGAAATCTTTAGGGGTTAAAAACTTCTTTTTTGTCAATCTTGTCATCAAAGCAGTGATCCTTCAGGTAAGCAACACAGATCTCAGTGCTTTGGTCAAAATCACCTTCCTAAGATTGTACTGAACCTACGATGTTGTTTGTTGAAGTCTTTTTGGCATCTGTTTCACCAAACATATGTAACTGAAGCTTTGGAAACAAGATGAACTCAATACCTTCTGCCCAAATCAGAAGAAGTTGGGAGAATGACATAACTCTGTGTAACTAAATTATTTGACACAATAACAAATTTCAGAACTTTTTCATATGTAGTGGCATTAAAACAAAAAAGAAATGTTAAATTCTTTAATTAAAAATCTGAGGAGTACTTGAAATTCAGCTAGTGGTGTTGAGTTCCAAGGAATTACATCTCCCTTTTAGGGTGTTCATATTTGCATTTCTCAAATATGCACAGACATCGTCAGCTTCATTTATTGATTCAAGGAAGGGAATTAATTCCAAAAGCTCCATGTCTGAAAAGTCGTCAAACCAAGACGCAACTGGAATCTGGGAATAGCAATAAAACAATCAGTTTAAACAGTTGAACATTTATCAAAAGTAATTATTCTTTCACAAAACTACACAATGTTTTTATGAACATCTTGTAAAAAGTGATCGAACACCTTTCTTTAGTAAGTTGCTTGGTTAGAAAATAAATAACAGGGCAACAGATGATTTGTTTTCACCCTTCCACTCCTAAGAGTGACTAACATCTAATTTCTCCTCACAATATCACCCCTGAATCACACTTTACGGTCATAAGAATAACAGAAATGATCACAGACTAAAGAGGCTCTTGATTATTACACAAATTCTCTTCCTCAGCTCCAGCAGAAATTCATGGAGAACAGTGGAGAATATGCATACTGATGTCACAGCATTGAAACAAGTTATGAATTGCCAAAAACATCAACACTTACTGCATTTTCAGGATGAAAACTGTATGATGCTGGTGAATTATCCACAATTAGGACCTTTTTTAAATCCCTTCCTAGTTTACTAAGATCCTGTGTGAACAACCAATCCACAAAACATTAGCCATGAAAAAGAGGGGGTTGATTTATTTTAGACACTGAAGTAAAGCTTAAGTTTTGAGCATTAACCCTTTATTCACATAAAATGTCAGCTTTAGAATCTCTTTACAGTGGTCAAATTATTAAAAACCAAATTATCTTGTTATATCCTTCACCTATGCAGCACTGGCATTTCTTGCGATACTTATTCCCTTTATCAATATTTTGTGTTGGGTAAGGACATTAAAATATGGAGAACAACGTGAAAGTGGAACTTCTAGAAGGCCTACCTTCACATAATTTCCTCTATGAAACACACAAGACTCTCTAAAGAGCCTGGCTCGAAATGATCCATACTTGTCCAGCAAGTCGGCGACTGGATCAGCATACTACAAAAGCACACAACGTGTTAACTCTTGAACATCCAGGAGCAAAGAGGGTGTAATTTCCCCTTATGATATGAGTACACTACCAAGCAGGCAGGTGAAGAACATAGACACAAATGTCTTCTTGGAGATACCACTTGATGAAACACCAAATTCTCAGAACAAGTAAAATAAGAAATGTATGGCAGAAAGTTGAGGAGAATCTTTGTTGATATCTTAACAGTGAAAGGGCAAACAAACAGTTATACATAGGTGATCAACCCTTACAGTTAAAATTTTACTTAAGGAACAATCTCACCCTTTCACTCCGAGAAGTGACCAAAATGGAATTTATCTTTACAACAAGCATTAACAAGATGAGAAGAAAGAAACAGATGAAAAAGGAGATGTTGCTTGATTTAACACCAAATTCTTCGCACTCAAATAATAGGATATGCAGGGCGTAAGATGGAAACCTATACAAGTGCAAGTGAAAAGTCTGGTCCAGTCATCACCTCAAGGAAAAAATTTTTGTATGTTTTCACCCTTAAACTCCCAAGATCTCATTGGTAATTCTCCCTTCTATCTGGCATAAAACACTTAATTTTAATTTGGAGAATTTGGTATTGGATCAACTTGTAGTTCCCTAATTGAGTATTTTTTCTTCATTCTTCTTACTTGTCTGCTTGATTCTGTGTTGATAATGTAAGGAGAAATTCTGCCCTGGTCACTCATGAGAGTTAAAGGGTTAAATAAAAAATGGGATGAGCCAAGTTCAAAAGTACCAAATATTGTCTAGTTTTACTTCTGTCATGACCAAAAAAAAAAAAAAAAAAGAGAGAAACTTAGTGTAACCCTTCAATTCCCAAGATGTCATTAGTATGTCTCCTGACTGTCTGCTATACATGTCTTCTGATGTGACTTCTGAGAATTTGGTATTGGATCAACTAATAACTCCCTTATTGATACTTTTCTTGGTTCTCATCACTTGTCTTCTTGATTTTGTATTGATATTGTAAAGAAAAATTCTGTCTTGGTCACTCATGGGAGTTGAAGGGTTAAGTTGACATCAAACATCTTCATCTCTTGACACACATTCTGCCTTCACGATTGCAGTTTGTTCTTTTTAGTACTAGCTCATTACAAAAAGTTACAGCATTTTTTACACATTTTTGTAGAATCACATCAGTTGTCCCTACAGGTTTATACAGATGCAGCTTTTAAATTAGCCACAAAAAATTTACTGCTAGTGACCAATTTTCTGTCACTTTGGTACCAAAAGGGGACAAAGGAATTTTTTAATTTTAGGCCCTGGTATGTGTAGACAGTGAGAATCGATTTAAAGATCTCAGAAGTAAAATGGATGGAGTAAAAATTCAATGATACGTATTCTTTTGTCTCACCTTTGCTAAGCTAGCGGTAAAAAGAACGCATTCAAACAACTCCCCAACTCTGCGAAGAAACTCGTCAACATGAGGCCTCTTTAACACATAGACCTGTGAACATATTGCAAATTTACACTAGTTAAAAAACTTAGTTCAAAAAAGTTCTTTTAGGCAACAAATATCCTTGGGATGGGCTTCTATGTTTTAACACAACTTTGAAAAAATTGTAAAAGAAAAACAATGATTTGACAAACCTGATGAATTGTGCCATCAATCTCCACAGGAACAATGAAATCTGCATTATGGACAGGCTTATATGAACAATTAAAAAAAACAAGAATTAGAGATTTAAATACTGCAAATTTTTTTTAAGTATAAACTTTCTTGAAAAATTTTACATTGTCCCTGTTTGTAAACTATGAGGAAGTAAATGCTATAAGTTAATGTGAAATGATGTAATATTCCAAATTTTGCTTTTACCGAAATTGGAGTATGTTTGCAAATGTGTTTCTTTCATTTGAGGGTGAACTTTCTCCAAACTGCTAGCTAAAAGTTTATATAACTTCATATATGGTACCCAATAACAACTTATATGTAAAAACAAATTAAACATGATTTTGGCATTATACTCTCTAAGACACCTTTGATTAAAGGCTAATATTTATTACCGACAGATTTGCCCATCAATAACTTATATTTCCAACCTGTCAATTTAGTATTAATCTCCTTAATTTAAAAAAAAAAACCCTGTAATAATAAAGATATTTTTTAAAAAAATTATAAATCTTCAAATTCCAGGGTGTTTAGTACGGATCAGAGAAGGGAGAAATGTCTAGCCACCAAGCAGAATTGTCCACCTAAATTCAAAATCTATTTCTTGGCAATACATCTATAACATTCCCTTCTTGCTTTTAATTTTTCTCCTCTCTTTTCATTTGTTGTTGATGACCCTGAACAGCCTGATAAATTTAGTAAATATTTACCTTAAATGAACTGTGAACCAGTGTTTCATCCAAGTCTATTACAATACATTTTTTGTGCATATCCTGATGTCTGACAGCAGGAAGTAGATATTTACAGGGCTGAAGAAGGAAATAACAGAAAAAGAATAAAACAATTTTTATTACAATCACATAAAGCTTTGAGGACTTTTCGTTGAAACCTCCATGTAAATATAAAACCGGATCTATATCATAAGTATCTTGAGTTTGTCCTAATTGACAAATGGTACCATTTTCAATTCAAATAAGCGACAAGGAATTAGAAATTCATTTACGTGAGTCAATATCTAAACATACCTTCATAAGACAAACATGTACTCGAACATGACAAAAACTTAACTTTAAAATAACTTATTTATGAGTAAGACCATCAATCACATCATGAAATATAGACAAAGGCAGTTTTGGTAAGAAATACTGGTGGTTCAAAGTCCAAAAATCTCACTCATACATGTAATTGGGCAATTTTAAATGACTCCCTCAGGGTTTATTGAAATTTTGGGAACCTTGAAAGGTTGTCAAAGAAACCAAACATGAAATATTTTAAGTCTCCATCTAAAAATCAAGGGCAGAATGGAAAGCAAAATTCTTGCAAAAATGGCAGGGTTACAATAACAATATTTCATACAAGTCCTTGTGCCAAAACAACAAAGACAGTGCAGCTTGTTCAGATTTTAAAACTTAACCCTGGCTACAAATTTATTCTCCTAAATGAGGCATAAACAGTGTCATGAATATACCTTTCCCATGCAAAAACGGCTCTTCTAAAAGTTAAAAAATTAATAGCTGGATCTGTACACATTTTCCAAAACGCAAATTAAATCAACACTGAAAATTATACAATACAATTAACGACTGTCTATCTGCTATGAATTCTCATCAAATATTGATCACAACAAAATGTACATGAAACAGGAGCAAAATCAAGAGCAAAGATGTTTCTTTGCTTCATAAAAGACTCGTTAATTTAGCACTGAATTTACACAGGTCTTCCTTCTTTTTGGTAAAAAGCTCAACTATTTCTTTTTACAGGAAATAGTTTCAAGTTCTTATACTAACTTATCCCATCCGATCCGGAGTTAAAGGAAGACTTCTGTGTTTAGTAAAGCAAAGGAGGGCACTTTAAATCTTTAATTTGTTATCTTTTGGAAATTTGCGTCAATCGAGTTCGTTTTCCGTGCACGCATCATCTCCTATTTTGCGGAATTCATGCAAACGGTAAAAGTACGGAATGTTCCTTGTTCGTAGCCACAAAAAAAGGAGCACGTCGTATCCACTGTAAGATTTATCAAGCACTATTTCCCCTACGAAACCGATTCCGCAGTTAGGTCGAAATAGGTGCTATACTGGAGAAGAAATTAATTCTAAGAGTTTACGTCAAACACAAATAAGTATACCGAAAGACAACGGCCATGATCGTGCTATTATATTGAGAGTACTTCAAGAGTGAACCCAACATTTTCTGTCTCCTTTCGCCTAATTCTAGTATTTAGCAACGTTTAAATACCTTTAGAGGAGAAGATTAAAGGAAAGCAAGCGCGCGGTAGAAAAGAACGCACAGAGAAGCCTTTTGAATTTCAAAACGCACGTTCCTTCAACGAAACAGACAAGTTGGAATGTCAACATGAGGGAGCCCTTGAGAATCTTATTAATTCGGATATTAAATTCACACCAAAATGGCAAAAAATACACCTACCAAACAGCTCTATTGCAAAGCGAAGTCTCGCAAGTGACGGAATAAAAGAAGGAAAAAGGGGTTGCTGTTACGCAATGATCCGAAGATACGAATTTATACCCTTGAATTGCTCGAAGAACGACATTTGCTAGTATGCACAAGCACCTACGGAAATGGGATCTGAGATCGCTTTCAAATTAAACGTTGTGTGGATAACTTGAAGCGAACACCTGCACGATAGATGTGTAAAACAAGAGTATCGATCTCTATTTAGAAATGCTAACCTTTGGCTCTTTTTCTTCAGTGGAGATACTAAGCGAGTTTTCATTGTGATTGTGGTTGTGATTCGTGTGGGTGACAGCAGTTCTGTATGGACCTCCGGCAGCAGCAGCAGACTGGGCGCCAAAACAGCAAAAAAATGAGGAAAAAATGTTCCGATTCCTTGGCTTTTTGGTGACTGTAGAAGGTACTGCAGAAGAAGAGAAATACAAAGTTGAGCAGAGTGAACAATCATGCTCAGATGGTGAAATCGAGGTTGACAAAATGCTAAACGTCATTTGCAAGCCAACAACTAACTCAATTGATAAAATCAAAAGCTAGAGTAACGATTTTTACTGACTTGATTGACCACAAAGAGAGACTTTTGTTGCAACTTGAAGTAAGAGAGCTCGAAAAGAGATAGTTTCGGACTATTCTCTATAGGTGAAGTTAAGCTTACCACGCTAACAAAACCTTGTGATGCAAAATTCGCGCCGGTAACTGCGTACTTGTATCGAAGCAAAGTGAGCAATATGGAAGTCGTAAAAGCGTACTCACGTTTGTTTTGTGTGTAGGGGCTCACTTCTGCCGACTCATCGTCCTTGTTAACTTGCGTTATAATGGACGTGCTGTCCATCGACAACGCTTTTTAAACAGAGCCCAAACTTTCCTTCTGTAAAGCACAATGACTGCTCATTTGTTTTCATCCAAATCTTCTATTTGCCTTCTGTTGAACAGTTAGAAAATTATGGGCTGTCATATACCGAGGAGGCTTTGATTGACATAGAATGCACAATGCATACTTGTGATTGGACCGCCTATCCTGATATTTAGCATAATTTGAACTCTTGCTCAATTGATCACTTTGAAATTTAAAACCAGCTGGCAAGAACTCCTTTAACCAAACAAAGTAAAATAACAAGCAAAATCAAAATGGTTGTTGACATAACAGGACTGATACCGCGGAAAGTAAAATTCACTCGAAATACGTTGTATTTAACGACTTTAACGAGAAATTTTTTTTTTAAACAATATTCAATGGGTGCCTTGGATTTCAAATGAATAATTCAAGCTGTCAAGGCAGCGTCCAATATAACTCCGAAACCCATGAAAACGTTCTGCACACGAGTTCCACACACTGAAGAGTGCAGCGACGTGCATCAGCCATTTATACGCCTGCGGTTTTACAGGTGAGTTCTTAGGTCCTCAAAGTTGTTGAAACAACAAAAAAATTAAGGGAAAATACCCGACCCCCTTCACCCGCCATAACCTCTTTCTCATCATGATTAAGTTAAGATTAATGTGACAATTTAAAAATTATAAAAGGATAAATAAATTTGAAAAAAACATAATTACATAACCGAGATTGTTGACCACGGTCGCTATCGAATAGAAATCTCATCTTGAGCACAAACAATACTAATAATTACTGGATAAAAAACAAATCAACCAAGCAATCTGATCTTATCTCCCCCCACCATTTGCATCGTAAAATAATCCTATCAGTTTTGACTAATGATTTGTGTCTGCCAGTCACCTGATGCAAGGTGGAAGGAAAGTCCTTCCTAGTATTTGCAAGGGAAAAGAAAAAAAACAAAACAAAAAACAAGCGAAATCTGTCTACCATGAAAGGATGACACACTTGTAAAATCTAATGTTTATTAACCTTTATAACATTTTATATTCTTCATATTAACCTTTTGAATAGCTCAAATTGACGAAAGTGCTACTGTCATTGGTGAAGAAAAATTCTCAAAATGCAAGGGGAATGAATGCATGAATCACCTAAAAATACTTCGATTAAACTATAAGTTAAGTTATAAGGGTTCAGAAACAAGAAATGGGGATTTCCAAAATTAGCCTCACGTAGGCCTTGACTGATGCAGATTTAATTTCAGTTTCAATGCTCAAAATGGAATTTTCGAATAGATCGGTTCGGCCTATTTCCAGACTGCTTGCTAAGCACCGAGAAAATTTTACACAACTGAAGAAAAACGACTCAAAACTAAAAACAAACATATGACAAAATAGGACAAAGAGAAAAAGAGAAGAAAACGAGGAAGATATTGATTTTACAACCCCCAAATGAATAAACAAAAAAGAAGAAAAGCTCATATGGCTAATCATTAAGGCTATTTTGTAAAGTTGGCCATGATTTTTCTTAAAATAGGGAACGTCTTCAACTGAATGAATCGCTCGACAGTACAGTTACTTCAGCGTATCTGCGGTGGATGGTTTAGTTATTCATTGTATAGAGATTTTCTTCGTGGACAGCATTATTGGACCTTCTCACAGATGGAGCTAAAATACCGAACGGCCTTATCGACTGGACAAGGACTGGGAAATTCGTTCCAGGAGATCTGCTTTGAAACAGTACGTCAGGTGAATTAAAAATCAAGATAGCATTTGACTATCACTTCACTTTGACACATTTACGTGACTTATTCGTTACTAGATTAATTTCGACCGTAACTGAATAGCAGACTAAAAGATATACAGTAATGGTTTAGAAATGGGTTAGATTTGCCCTAATTCGATCATAGTTTGCTTTATTGAAAGATTTCCGCGGGGTAAGATCCAGAGAAGGTAGAATTTTCTTTTAAACTGGGAATAAATATCAGGAAAAAAAAACGGAACAGGTAAATGGGAGGAAATAGAAATAGAGAAGTAATAATGAGATTTTTAATAATCCAAAATATCCTTTTAAGACCCCGTAAGCATGCCTTCTAATTAATCTTTCAGAACGATGACATTTCATGACGACGGAGTTTTAACTTTAGGCTTTGTATCGAGTAAGCACGTTTAAGAGTCTTCTTATTTTGTCTAACAGTTTTAAATGAAGACACTGAGACCAAGATAAAACTACAGTGAATGGACACGTAAGCTCGAAACAAACCTAGCACGTTTTTTAAAAAACAAGTCTATCAGACAAATGTTCGTGTTTCCATTAAAATGACTCTACGGGAGGTAAAGGAAGAAAAA